AAGTTTTCAACTCTGGTGGATGGACATTGTGAGTAGTCCGTGACAGCTGTGGTTTGCAAAAGTTCTTCCTGTGCAGCAGAGGAAGCTGAGGCAGGGTGAACAGCCACCTCACCCAGGGTCCCCCGCTCGCTTGCACACACAGGGTTCTTGTAGAAGAGCTGCTTCTACAAGATACCTACATATCAGAAGCAGCTCTTGTGCCTTCCAGAAGGATTCCAGAAGGGAATGTTGCTTGGTCACCCCTCATTTCCAAAAGGTCAGACCAGCAACTGGTTCTGAGCCCAACCCACTGAGGCTGGAACTGAGGACGGCAATTCACATACTCTCCTGCCATAAGCCAAAGGGGAGGAAGCCTGGTGGCTTCACAGCCGTGAGCAGACCCCTCTTACGGTTACAGAAAAGCTGCGGGGGAGGCGGGGGCAGAGCAGGAGCACCACTGGTGAGTTGAAGGCTTGAGATGCTTGCGTCCCCCATACGGGGCCTGGATCTGAGTCCTTCTCAGTCGAGCTTCCTGCTAATGTACTCCATGGGAAGTGGTTGGAGAGAACCCAGTTGCTTGGGTCTCTGTCACCCATGTGGCAGACCTGGATGGAATTCAGGGCTTGTGTCTTAGATTTGGTCCAGCTCTGGCTACTACAGGCACTTGGGGAGTGAACCAGCAGATAGAAATTTGCTTGACTTTGTTTTGTTTTTGTCATTTCTCTCTCTCTCTCTTTGCCTTTCAAAGAAATTTTTAAAATAAAATTTAAAATGTTTTAAACACAAGAAAGACACTTGAGGATATCTAAAGGGCACTTCAAAGCATTCTTGGAAAACATAATTAAAACACAAGTCTATTATGATGCTAACTTTTTTTGAAATCCATGAATACAAAGGTCACAGATGAGTTGGTGTTGTGATATAGTGGGTAAAGCCACCACATGCAATGCCATATAAGCAGGGGATAAGGAGCTGTCCTGGCTGCTCCACTTCTGATCCAGCTCCCTGCTAATGTGGTGTCCTAAGTGTGTCAGCCCCTGAACTCAAGTGGGAGACCTGGAATAATTTCCTGGCTCCTGGCTTAAGCCTGGCCCAGCCCTGGCAGTTGTTGCCGACTAAGGAGTAAACCTGCGAATGGAAGATCTCTTTCACTCTCTCTCTTTCTCCCTCCTATTCTTTCTGCAACGCTTACTTTCAAATACATAAATAAATCACCAAAGGGTCAGTTTTGTGGCATAAGTGGTGCTATGACACCAGCATCCCATACCAGAACACTGGTTTGAGTCACAGCTGCTGTACTTCCAATCTAGCTCCCTGCTAATGCACCTGGGAAAGCAACAGAAAACGACCAAGTATTTGTACTCCTGACACCCACGTGGGAGACATGGATGGAGTTCCTGCCCCTCCCCATTTCAATCTGGCCCTGCCCCAGCCATTGCAGCCTTTGGGGGAGTGAACCAGTGGATGGAAGATCTCTTTCCCTCTTCCTTTCCTCTCTCAATCTGCCTTTCAAACAAATAAAATAAATATATTTTTAAAAAATCATGTAAATACTATTATGAAAATATTATGCATACATAATGCTTACATCAAAGTAAGCTTATATTCTAAATTTTGTTTTTGCATACCCTGTTGAGATGGCCTTATGTATGCCCTGGACCAGCCATGGCATGGTAGCTCCATGCCATGTGTTTCCCAACTGAGGTGTGTGACGCTGAAAAAAAGGGGATGTTGAGACGCCAGGACCCAAGCTGTGGTGTTTTGGGGCTCACCCAACAGTGACTTCTGTTGGCATCCAGGTCAGCCCCTTAGGCAGTGGCTTTGGATCCAGCACAGCAGCCCCTCGGCCCAGGCCCCATAGTGATCCTGGAGGAAAAGTCGAGAATGCTTTGGCCAAGCTGCAGGAGCTCAAGTTTTGGATCTGCTACCTACGGAGCTGTGTGATCTCAGGAGACAGTGGTTAACTTTCAGTGTGCTTCAGTTTCCTTGGCTATGAAATAGAGATGACTAGAAGGGGAATGAGTTAGTACAATGAAATAACTCACAGCACATGGTGCTGGCTTGTGGGCAGTGCAGATGGGGGTGAGGCAGTGGGAGTGGCAGGAGCTACTGGGGCACACAGGGCACAAATATGAAAACAGCTCATGACCTGCACTGACCTGCCCTAGGGTTTCTCACAGACTCCTGAAGGAGGATGTGGAAGCAAGAGCCATGGCCATGGTACTATCACAGCTAACATGAGCCAGGTGTCAGCCACTTCCCAGTCCCAGGCAGGGCTGCAGAGCAGAGCCCAAAGGATCATGGATGCCCAGGCCAGACCAGCCTAAGGGCTTGAGCACTGGAAAAGGGGGTGACAGGCTGCTCTGTGTCCCAAGCAGGGGGTGGCAAGGCTCCAAACGCTGCCTGGGAACAGACAACAAGAACCCAAGGGAGGGAGGCTCTGGGGAGACACGGCAGTCCCAGGAGGATACAGGCTTCACGGAGGGCACGGAGGCCCAAGAATGAGCAAGCTGACCACTCACAGCCAGGGTGCCCTGGTGAGGGAGTGAGCTCCCTGTGATGGGCTATGCTACAGAGCCCCTATCCAGGGCTGAGGTAGTGGGGGTGGGGGGCTACAAGTTCCCAGGGTGACTGGCTTGGGGTTCACCTTCCCGCTGGTTCTGGCAGCCATCATCCTGACCCAGACTAGTATTCTGGCAGTTTCCACTCCTGCCAGGTTTTGCCTCGGAGCCTTTCCTATTCGTGGGCCAGCCAGCGCATATACCCAGGGCCCAGCCTTACACAGTGCCCTGTGGAAAATTTAGTTCCTCTGTGGTCTTGGCCTATAGCTCCTGTCCAGGAATGGAGAGGAGAGAGAGAGTTGTGTGTAAACATGTGAGTGAGTGAACATGTGTGTTTGAGTATGTATATAAGCATGTGTGTGAGCATGTGTGCATATCCATGCTGTATTGTGAACATGTATGTGCACGTGTGTGAGAGCATGTTTTATGAGTCTGTGTCAACAGCGCATGTGTGTGCACACACAGAGACAAAAGCAGGCTCCAGTCTTCTAGCACTTGTGTTTGCGTGAAGGGCCCTCGGCTAGGGCTGGGCTGGGAGGCCAGGCCACAGGAGCTGTCATCAGGGAAGCGTGCTCTTCTCTCACCTGCTTACAGAGCGGGAATTCAACTGGCAAGAGCAGCCCTGGGCGTCCACAGCTCCCAGAGACCCAGGCTCCAGCCCAGCTGAGCCCATCCCGAGGACCCTAGACTGTCTGAGCGGCTCATCGTGGGTACAGCAGGGTCCTGGGCTCTGCACTGATCCTGCCAGGTTCGAGGGAAAGGATGACCCACCCAATGGCATCTCTAGTCTGAGAAGGCTCTTGGGCCAGGGCCGACAGGCATAGGTGGAGCTGGGAACTGCGGCCTCATTAACCTTGACTTGGCCACAAACCTATTGCTCCTTCCCCCTTGTGGGGTCACCCTAGAGACAACCCCATCCTCACAATCCCCACCACCCCACCACCTGGAGCTGTGCCTGAGATGTGCAGCCCTGGGGATGAGAGGGGCCCGTGGGCTTTGGTGTTGCCTTGCTCTTGGGAGTTTAAAAGAACCCAGTTTAGGAGCCTTGGATCAAGGGAGAACGGAGCTGCTTGTCTTTGCTGATCCTCCATCATTATGTTTTAGGAAGGCTTTGATTTTTGGAGTTGTCTGGCAGCTGCCCAGGATTTGAGAGCTGAGTTTGTGCAGGAAAATTTGGCTCCAGGACCCTGACACAGTGAAGTGAGAGGGCTCAGGGATCACTGTTGCAAGAGGAGTCCGCGGCTGGCGCACAGACAGTAAGGACACTGTGCCCCGAGACACCGGGAGCAGCCGTGTTGGTGGGGAGCGTTCCCCTCTATGTCGCTCACCAAGCTTTCTGCACTCGGGAGCCACGGGGGCCCCAGGTGTCCTGGGTGGGAGCAGGATACTCAGTAAAACCCAAGCTGAACTTCCTCCCCAGCCAACTGGGAGGGGGCTGGGGCCACTGTCCCTCTCATGTTCAAGGGCATCCCCCCACACCCGAGGCTACCAGGCTCCGAAGCATCTGAACCCACGACCTTGGAACCACTGCGCCCCGAGTGCTCACCATCTCTGCTCCCACTATTAGGACATCCAAGTTCACAGACATCATCCGACAAAGAAAGCAGTCACTAAGAATCGACTGGTTTCTAAAACTTGTGCTCACTCACTCATTCTCATCTCCCTTAACAAGTATCTCTCCCTGTCTGGCCCGGGCCACTGTGGACAACTGCAGAATGACCCAAGACAGCACCAGGCAGGGCACACCAACTGTGGAGTCCACCGTCAGGTGAAAATGGCCTTGGAGGACCACTCAGGTCCAACTGGACAGGGTTGAAACAGAAGAAAGCATAATGAGGGTGGGCATGAATGAGCCAAAGGTGATGATTTGGATCTCTGAGAAACGGACAAGCCTGGCAACAGTAAAGCATCCCTCCTCGCCCATACTACTAGGTGGGACCTGAGGAATATGGTCTCCCATGAGCGCCTCCTGTGGTTGAACACCACAAACATCAACGCTCGACATGGAACCCCTAGTGAGAACAGTAGCTTTGCATTTGCACAGTGGCATCTCTGTAAGACCCCCGCATTCCATCTTTCTCATCATTTCCCATTTTATATGAAAACCTATGACACCTCTCACCATGACATTTTGCACATTCATTCTTGAAGTGGGCTCTTGCTGCCTGACACAGCTCCCTGTGCCAACAGCCCGGGACCTTGAACAGTTAAGGAGGGGGCCTGCAAGGGCCAGGCTTCTGTCAGACACAGTCTAGGTGGCTCCCCCATAGAACCCATGGGGCCTGGGTGGGCAGCTCCAACGAGCTCGGTATCCTTCACTCCCCAGGGCAGACAACCGCGAACCTTCCCCAGGCACCCGCTGCAACCCATACAGGCTGCCAGCAAGCCCTCTGGCCAGCCCAGGGCGCTTGGCTTGGGCCCCTGGCCAGGCTAGCCAACAGGCAGAGAAGGGGCACTTACTTGGCCGGCAGGGCTCTGGGCTGCCTCTCCGGGGGGCTCCTCGTCCTCGGGAATGTGGGGCATGGCAACCTCCGGGCGGGAGCGGCCACGCGTGTGTGCCCAGGAACCTCCGCTGCGTCAGCCCCCAAGGTGTTCCGAGAGGCCTGGGCTCCGCAGGCTGGGGAGACGCCAAAAGCACAAGTCAAATCTCTTCCCATCCCTGTCCCAAGCCGGGTTCCATTGGCAGGAGCCAAGAGCCACCGACAGAGCCTGCTTGAGTTTGCAACAACACGGGGCTGGGGAGAGGGGAGGAGAGGTCGTCCATCTAACCGGTTCCCTCCCAGGAAGCACAGCGATCCCAGGAGGGGCAACATGCTCCATCCTACAGGGGACCTCAGCTGACGGAGGGTGCTTTGTGGGGACCACTGTGGCTCTCCAACGTCACTGGGTGCTGGCTCCTCTCATTGCAGCACCTCATTGCATTCTCGTCGTGACCTCTGCTTCATGCCTGAAGATTCCCCTTGTAGAGGTGAGAGAACTTCCCGGGAGCGTGAAAGCCACTCACCTGGAGTCACACCAAACAGTTGGAGCCAGGGCCGGCTGCGTGTTGGCCTGGTCTGTTTTCTTTGACACCATGCAGTTTTCCCTAGCCGTGCCGGTGGGAACTAACAGTGTTTCCTGACTTCCTCCCCCACATCACTGGCTGAGTCCCCACTACATGCCATGCTCCTCATTGCTAGGAGCTGCAAGAGAAAGAGCCAGAAAGTCCAGTCACGTCTCACGATATTAGGCTCACCCCTGTCCCACAGAAAGGATTCATTGAGACCCTAGAGCCAACAGCCCCAACAGACCCCTTCACAGCTAGCTCACTTCCCCAGGGCAGACAAGGGATCTGACTCATCATGAATATTCAAAAGATTCATCTACAAATAGCTGCTGACTGCTGGCTATAGGACCAGAGCTTCAGGAACAGGATATTACCTGTGTGACCACCATCTTGGCTTGAGGAACTCTTTGCACTGAAACAGTTGGGTCGCCCCCTACTGGTCATCTCCAGAAATGTCATCTTAGACTTGGGCATTCTTAGCTCCCAAATAGTTATTAACACCCGCTCTGCTAAGTGTGTGCCAGCAGCTGCTCTCACAGAGGTGGCAAGGAGAATGTGGTCTGGCCCTTGGGAGTCATAGGGTCCAGCAAAGGAGGACAGTTCGCAAACAGTGTAATAAGGGGGTAAACATTTGCACAGTGAAAAGTTGTAGGGAAGGTTGCACTTGGCAACAACAGGTGTGTGTCTGCTATCCCAAATGACAGCAGGCACTGAGGTTGCCCAGGGTAGGCTCAGGCGTCAGTCTCTGCTATCTCCACTTGGGCCTCAGCTGCCATGACAGCAGTGGTGCCCAGAAAGGGTTAGTAGCATGAACCAAGGGTAGCTCCTGGACATGCTGCAACCCTTAGCTCCTCGGGGGGCACCCCAGCAGCCTTGCCTGCTGTGGCCATTCCCACGCTGCATCTGCCCTGTTGGCCTTCTCTCTCGCCCATTATTATAAACTCACGGCTTAAAATAGCAAGGTAAAGGCAGTGTCCCTCCCTTGGGGTGACATCTGGGTTCCGCCGGAGCTCGTGGGCACGCGGCCCTCACATCCATCACAGCAAAGTTTAGAATACGACCTCCAGGAAGTGGGACTCGAGAGCACTGGCCCATAAAAGGCAAAAATATTTAGTTATGTTTGGTCTGCGCACCACGCCTTCGTGAACCCATTTCCTGGGGGCTTTTCTGGCTGCCTCTCCAGTCTGGTGGGTTCAGGGTTAGCAGCGGGTAGTCCCCAGGGTCCCTTGGCTGTTTTGATCCTACTCCTGCTGGTCCCAGCCAGGGCTTTGGTGCAGCCTGACCCCTTGTATAGGATGCAAAATTGAAGAGGGCAGAAGTAACTTGACCAGGCTATTTGTACCCGAAACAAATCATGCATGAACCTCTGTAGGGATGGCTATCTGCATAAATAATCACTCATGTAATTGAAGAGGTGAGCAGTCCCTGAGCCATGCTGGAATATTTTACCTGCTCGGGAAACAAAGCTAGTTCAGACACAGTCCTTTGGTTTCATTCTTTGGGCGCTGCTAGGTTGTTGAGGGAGTCCAGCACGAGGCTGGGGAAGGGAGTGTCTTTCATGTGTAGGATTTAACAGACAGGAGCACAAAGGCACAGAGAACCTCACTCAGTACCTTGCTCCTGATCGATCACACAGGCCAGCATGTGGCAAGCCCCAGTTATGATCCAGGCCAGGCCCACTCCAGCACTACCCTTGTCTTCTCATTCCACTCTGCAGAAAGTCTTCCTTGTATGGGGGTCTCTCCATCTCCAGCAAAGGCCAATGGGGGCTGGCGAGAACAGGCAGCACCAACACCGACCACACCACGCCATGCCACGCCCTGTGACTCATCCACTCATCCCTCCTCTTGGATACAGCAATCTCATCAGGATCTGTCATCGAACCCTCACCTTGTGACTTCTAGCCCTACACCTGCCCATTAGTTTGTCCATTAGCCATTCACCCCCAGGAAGCCCCACCTACAGCATAAGCTCTGCCCCTGGGAAGAGCTGCCAGGAGACCTGGTGGATGCCAAAGAACAAGGGCAATGGCCGGGCTCCCCGTCCACACCCCCAAGCTGCACTCCGCAGCCAGTGCGAGAGGTTTCCCGCACTTGGGTTGCCTTGGGAAGGGTGGTGGACAAGCCAGCCCAGCGCTGCTATGCAGGCCTCCAGGATTCTCCATGCTCACCCACTCCCATCTCCAGCAATCACAAAGGCCAAGGGTTTGCAACAATCTTTCCAGGGTCCATGCCTTCATGACCTCAAAGCCCTGAGGGAGAGAGATGGCTAGCAGGGACACTGTGACCATTAGCATGAGAACCGGAGTACAAGTGAGGAAATGAGGACTTGCCAAAGTCACATGGCCTGGGGATGGCAGAGCTGGGGTCCACAGAGGAACTCTGCTTCTCTAACTCCTGGCAGGGCCACCAGGCTCATCCGTGACATACTTTGCAGGTGGTGACCCCTAAGCTGCCCATCCCAGGCCTCAGACCCTGCCCAGAAACCATTGCCACATCCCAGGGGCACAGGCTGGGAAGCCTGTGGGTCCTGCTGGGAAACAAGGAGTTACCCCAAGCTACCACTGACATTTCTGCAATGACTAACTATTCTCAGAAGGGAGGATTTTTTTTTTTATTCTTCCAGCTTTGCATTTTTCCTTTCATTTGAGCAGCACAAAGAATGTGAAAGAGATTAGGTTGCTATTAATATCACTGCTTCATCGCATGCTCGATGAAGAACTTGACCAAGGGACTCACTGAAGCCGGCCATGCGCACATCCTGCAGCCCCTGTACAAACCATGAGGGCAGAGGGAGGCAGCCTCTTCTCTTCCCCGCCCTGCCATACATCCAGAACACCCCTGTGGGTGAGGGTCGGTGTCAGAGGAGGTCGTACAAGCCTGGAGCACCAGCCATTGACTCAGTGCTGAGAGAGGCCTTGGAGTGTTCCCAGGCCTGGCCCACTGCAGGGCTGGCTACTGCAACCCTGTAAGACAGCCTGAGTAGGGGAGGTCCACTTCCAGAAAGTCCCCTCCCGCCTCCTAGCCCGGGGACACTGCCCGAAGGCTACTTAACTGGTGGGAATTCATTCTGACTCCCTCTCTGCCCCTTTTCCCCCCAGCCTCGGCTTCCTCATCTGTTCCATGGAGGTGATTGCACCTACCTTTTAGGGTGTTGCAAGGTCTAAATCAGCAGATGCTGACACAGAGCAGGGACTCGGTGTGAACCCGGCTTAGGGCAGCTGAGTTCCCTCAGCCATGGCACCGCTGAAACAGCCAGGACCCAGAGTGGCTGGTACCTAGGATCATCATGTGCATAAAGAGCATCAGATGGGACCACAGCTAACCTTGCAGGACCCAGCATGCCATGGACACTGCTACTCACTATGGCTGGGCTACTCACAGCTGCTGGAGAACACCAAGAGTCATTCTGCAAATGTCCCTGGGCAGAGAGGACATGGTGCTGTGGTGGGCCCTTGGCTGTGCTGTGGTCAGCCCATCATGCTTGTGGTGTGGTCAGCCTCATGTCTGTGGTGTGGCCAGTCCACGCCTGTGGTATAGTCAGCCCTGTGTCTGTATGTGGTGAGCCCACGCCTGTCCTATTCTGATTTAAAAGCCTGTTCTCTTCCTGAACCCTGTGGTGATGGAGCCTCCCCAAGGACAGAAGTTATTCTGCGAGTAAGAGCTGTGGCCTAGGGTGGAGTCGGTCCTGAAAGGGGGCATGGCCAGTAGTGGGCCTGGCAGCTGCTGTCCAGGGCAGGTGGGTGGAAGAAAGGCTGAGCAGGCACAGCTACACCCAGCATGCTCAGACCCCAGCATCAGTCCTGCAGAGCAGCCTGCGGGGGAAGGGCGGGAGTGTGGGGAGACTGTTTCACAGGCAGCAGAGGAGGGGCAGGGAAGTGCTGCTATCAGATGCTGGGCGCATGGGCTGGGGGCCTCACAGGGCCTCTGGGAGGCCTGTCCTGGGCAACTCTGTGAAGTCTTCCCAACTCAACTTTTCTCTGACATTCTCCACCCTGAAGACCCTAGCAAGGCTGGGAGGGGGGTGCCTGGGAGGTATTATGCACCTGCTCAGACCACACCAGGCTGCACCAAGGCAGGCCTTCAGAAGTGCTGAGGTCGGCAGGGAGCAGGCTGGCCTGAGCGAGAGGCTGGCCCTCACTCCTTCTGCCTGCACTGCTCTTCCCTGGAGCCCAGGGTCAGGCCCTTCTGTGCTCCTTGACTTGGGGTGGCAGGGTGGCAGCAGGAGGCTGGGAGAGCGGCATGTAGCACTGTCCTGAAGGCCTTGGGGCTAATGGGGAGGGCATGGGAAGGGCTTGAAGTCCACAGAAAAACCTGGGGGGAATGTCCCATGGAAGAAAGTCACCCTTTCCCAACACAAGTGGGGGCGAGTGTGACCAGAGAGGTAGAGCAGAAACAGCCACAGGATGTTTCAGGGCGATGTGCTGACGACCATCAGCCAGGACACATTGTCTTCAGTCTAGCTTCCTGGAAGCCACCGTAAACTAAGGTGCCACTCCTAAGGGTTCTAGGGAAGGAGGGGGTGATGGGGAGTCCCTGGGATGCCTCCCCCACACCCCAAGCCCTGCCTGT